CAAAAAAAAAAGGTGGGGGGGGGGGGGGGGGAAGACCCCAGACAAGCAGAAGACTGCTGGACTCCATCCCCAGAGGTTCTGATTCAGTAGGTCTAGTGTGTGACCTGAGAATTTGCATGTCTAACAACTTCCCAAGTGACTACACTCTGAGAACTACTGCCTTAATGCACCTCTCCTGCTACACTCACCACACTGTATTCTAATTTCCTGTTTATATGTCTTTATCCTGTGAGCTCCTTGAAGATAAGGGACACTAAGCCTTAGTGCTCACTAAAGACCTGGCAAGAAGTTATACTGAACCTGCCATAAATCTGCCCCTCCCTTCCCAATTACTCAGATTTCATAAATAGTTCCACTATTTTCCTAGTCACTAAAGGCATACTCTCTAGTAGCTACCCCAGCTTCTGCCTTTGTCCCTAAAATTCAGTCACTAAGTCTTGCTGACTGCTATCAGGCCAGTTCTCTCCCACTGGCCCTTCCTAATCATTCTCTCCACCACCCCCATGCACTCTTTCCTGGGCTCCCAGTGTTCACTCTCTCCTTACTTCAAATAGTGCTTTGAATCTTCTTAAAACAACATTTTGCATACATCACCTCTTAACCCAACTTTCAATACACCTCCATGGTCAATTGTATTTCAAGTCCTATATTCTGGTTCCCATTTACACATTCATATGTATACACCTACTACTCTTATAAGTCCAGGAGCTCTCTGAGGACAACTACCTTGTCTCTTTCATCTTTGTCTCAGTATGGCTGAACTGGTACAAAATAGGCACTCTAATGTTTATTGAGCCACATTAAATTTATGACTAATAGATTTACTTGTTTTTGCCTGCATCACTGCTCATGTCCTATCCTCTTCCATTTATTCCTCTCTTGTTTAAACACCTAACACAAAATACATGCATCATATTATATTTTATTGATTGATTAAAAACCAAAGTAGTAATATTTAATGATAAAGAAAAAGTACGGTTTTACTGTTACTGCCAGCATCTATCTAACTGATGATAAAAGCAATGTTAGCAAATAGCTCCTGAGGTTGGTGTCTCGGGCTCTACCTTCATCTGTGCCAGCTGCTGTTGCTGCTGCTGCTGCTGCAACCTCCGGAGAGCCTCTTGCTGCTGCTGCCTCTGGCGCATTAACTCCTTCTGCCGCTGGAGCTCCAGCTCTTTCCTCTTCCGTTCCTCCTCCTCATGTCGGAGTCTGGCTGCTTCCTCCTCCATTCGTAGCCGGTTCTCCTCTAATCGACGCTGTGCTTCTTCTTCTTCCCGGGCCCATTTTGCAGCCTCCTCTTCCTTTCCAGAAGGAGAAATTAAAGAAAAGAGAAAAAAAATTATTATTAATTGTAGGGGGAAAAATTTGAATCACTTTTGAAGGATTCTGTAAAATGGCTATAGAAATGACAGAGAAACTCTGTTTATGACGATGTAAACAAGAGAAGTTAAATTTTTTTTTTTTTTTTTAAAGATGACCGGTAAGGGGATCTTAACCCTTGACTTGGTGTTGTCAGCACCATGCTCACCCAGTGAGCCAACCGGCCATCCCTATTTGGGATCCGAACCCTTGGCCTTGGTGTTAGCAGCACCGCACTCTCCCGAGTGAGCCACAGGGCCGGCCCCAGAAGTTAAATTTTTTTAAAAAATATATTTACAGTAGCCACAAAGGCCTGGCATGCTTACAGGATTCAATTTTAATTGAAGGATTGTCACTTTGAACGTTGGTGACAGTCCTGATTCTCGAATCAGCTCACCAACAACTGTAGGAAAAGTCTCCTGAAATACTGTTCCAACATTTGAGGCCAAGCAAGCTTCTCAGGGTACTGAGCACTAAGAGCTACCAATATCTTGCGAGGATACTGATTATCCTGAAAGCCTCAGCCAATTCTAGAATCAAAGCAACTCTGCAAGACCACTTAACTCCATCCCTGGTTCTTGCCCTTTGTGGTCCACAGGCCCACAAGTTCTTCAGGACATTTGTCCTCAACCAATCCTCCACCTTCTACTACATTTTCCCTCATATGGGCTCAGCTTCCTTCTGCTTCCTTCCTTTAAAACCATTCCACTATGTTCTCCAGAACTCTTGTTTCATTGTTAAGAAATTATCCGCACTTTTGCAGAGTCTGTTTGCTGTGCCTGAAATGCTCTGTCTTATGCAGATAATTATAGTCCCCGTTTCACTCTCCAAAACCTAGGTCAGATGTCAACCACTCTAAGAGAACTTCCTTAGCCTTTAGGAGGTAAGGTAGACTTGACTTCTGCCTTTTGATTATGCCCATCTACATTCTGTCTTTATCTTTTTATCTGCTTCTAGTCCACCTGCGGCAGCTACTGTTTCTACCTATCCAACAACCACTCCTTTTCAGGTTTCTTCCTTGTAGACAGTGCTTCCTGCCTCCTGGTTTAAAATGTCAGATTTTGCTTTTAAGCTTTAACTGGCCATGTGATCTGATTTAAGTCAAAAGGATATCTGCTGGGAGACTTCTAAGAAAGATACTCTTCCCAGACAAAATGAAAGCAGCCTGAGAGAAGGGCTACTCCCTTTTTGGATATAGGTTGTACAAGGGTGTGATATCCAAAATTCCTAACGGTGGGGTGAATAATCTAAATTCAAAAGTCAACACACCAAGAAATGGTAGAGCAGAGGTACACAAAGAACCTGAATCTTTAATGGCATCACTGTGTCACTGAAGCAAGTGTGTAATTAATTGCCTTATTGCCAGACCTCTTCGATTTATGAGGCAACGTCATCTACTGTTTAAACCACTTTAGGTGGGTATTTTGAGTTTGCAGCTGAAAGCAACCTAACTGTGGCATTAATTTCTTATATACTTATCACCCACACAGTCTGTAAGCTTCTTGATGACAGAAACAATTTCCTAAAGAGTCTTATACTCCACCATAAATAAGCACAATAACTGGTATATAGTACATTAATTGAATATGTTAACTGTTAAATGAATAAACCGAAGAATAAATCAGTACGTAATCTAACCTAGAAGCTATCTACCTCTAACAGAATTTAGGTTTCTGAAAGAGTTTCAATCCAGAAACTAAACAAAAGCAAGACATTTCCAGCTTTGTGTCAATCTAACCAACAAACAAAAATCTACATCCTTAAGTGTGGACTGCACATAGTGACTTACAGAGTACAGTAAGGGGGGCAGTAACTTATAGTGGGAAAATATGACAAACACGTCTTCAACCAAGTGATCATGGCTATCAACAGCACTCATAAATCATGTTGATATTGTATACCTTTGATATGATGTGGTAAGAATGCCACCTTACCTCTGTGATCTTCCTCTCAAACACCTATAACCACAGTCTATTTGTGAGAAAAATTTCAGACAAATTCCCATAGAGGGGTATCCTACAATATGTACACTGACCAGTATTCCTTTAAAAACAAGGAAAGTCTGAGAAACTGTCACAGCTAAGAAGGGCCTAAGAGGATATGACAACTAAATGAATTAAATGTAATGTGATATCCTGAATGAGACCCTGGAAAAGGAAAAGGACATTAGGTAAAAAAATCTTAGGAAATCTGAACAAACTATGGATTTTAGTTAATAATAATGCATCAATATATTTTAGTTATAACAAATGTACCATACTAATAAGAGATTAATAATGGGGGAAACTGTATTCAGGGGATATACAAAAGCTTTCTGCACTATTTCCAATTTATCTTTCCAATTTATCCAAAAATCTAAAACTGGTTTAAAATTAAAGTCTACCAATACAAAAAAAAAAAAAAAAAAAATCTATGTTAAACATTAAAATGAAGTGCTTTGGGGGTTCTCACTTCCTATAATGGCAGAGTACCATGTACCAACAGTCCCACATGTGATTATAAAAGCTGAACAAAATATCAAAGAACCAAAACAAACTAACAAAAAGAACACATGAAAGAAACTGAAGAAGAGTCTACCCTTAAAAAAAAACAAAAGAAAGATCGGCAAGTTGGAAACGTTTTGCTTGAAGGCACTCCCCAATTCACAAGGGGCTCAAAGCCCTACCATCTTAAGATAGCAAGAGAGAGTTCTAGGATAGAGGAGTAGCCATCAATTTAGGGAGAAAATCTGCAAGAAAGGGAACAAAAGAAGGGATCCACGAAAGAGATAAGCCCCCAAATCTGCTGAAATCCTTGGTTGATTCAAACTACACACATGAGGTAGATCTTGGGGATTAAGATAAAAAGGAGCAGCAGAAAGCTGAAAGAACTGAATGGAGACTTCCACTACTATACCACTCGGGGGGAGTTGGTAAAGATTGAATTCACCAAGTTAAATGCCAGCCAGAACAAAACTCTCTTTTTAAAGGAACAAAACAGAATCCATAATTTGTCATTTACAATGTCCATTATACAGTTTTTAAAAATTACTAAATATACAAAAAAGAAAATAACAAAAAAATATATACCACGGAAACATCAAAGAAAACTTGAGTAGCTATATTAATATCAATTTAACGGACTTTAAAACACGGAATCAGAGATAAATTGGAACATTTCATAACAATAAAAGGTTCATGAGGAAGACAATATAAATGTGTATGCAACTAATAACAGGTTCAAAAACAGATAAGAGCAAATACTAACAGAACTAAAGGGAGAAATGAACAAATCAAAAAGCAGTTTGAGATTTTAGCATCCCTCTCTTGGCAATTAACATAACTAGATAAAAATTGAATACAGATATAAAATATCTGAATGCTATCGACCACCTTGACCTAATCATGATTCACAGAATGCTACACATAACTTATGAAAAATATACATTATTTTCAAATGCACATGGAATGGTCACCAAGATAGATCATATGCTAAACCAAAAAATGAGTCAATAAATTTTTAAAAACTGGGGTCTTACAGACTATGTTTTCTGACCATAATGTAATTAGGTTAGAAATGAATACAAATAAGAGTATCTGGAAAGGATCCCAAGTGCCTGGAAATTAAATAACCCACTTCTAAATAACCCATAGGCCAAAGTGGAAATCATTAGAAAAAAACTTTAAATTAAATGATAATGAAAATATAACATATCAAAAATTGTGAGATGTAGCTAAAACAGTTAAAGGGAAATGCATTGCTTTACATGTATTTATCAGAAAGGAAGAAAGGCTGAAAATTTATTATCTAAAATTTCCATCTTAAGAAAATAGAAAAAGAGAAGTAAATTAAACCGAAAATAAGTAGAAGGAAGAAAATAATAGTGATTGTGGCAGGAATCCTAACAAAGCCAAAATTTAGTTCTTTCAAAAGACTGATACAACTTGATAAACTGACAAAACTGATAAAAAGACCACAAACTACCAATATGAGTAATAAAAGAGGGACTACAACATAAAAAGAATACTAAAAGAATAACAAGGAACAAATTTGTACCACTGAATTTGACAACATTGTTAAAAAAACACAGATTACAAACACTGATGATAGAAGACAAACAAAAAGCCTGATTAGCCTTATAGCTCAAAGAAGGACCAGGTGGTTTCAATGGTGAACTCTATCAAATATTCAATGAAGAAATAATACCAATCTTACATAAACTTTTTCAGAAAATAGTGACAGAGGTATCACTTTCCAACTTGTCTATGAGGCCAGCATAAAACTGACACCAAAATATGGCACAGTATAAGAGAATTATAGACAATATCACTCATGAACATAGATACAAATATACTTTAAAAACCAGTAATAAATTAGGTTAACTTATCATCAAGGACGGTGTAATCCAGGAACAGAAAGTTGGTTTATCATTCAAAATTCAGTCAGTATAATTCACCATATGAACAGAATAAGTAAGAAAATTAAATGATCATCAATACATGTAGATAAAGCATTTCACAAATTCAGTATCTATTCATGAAAAACTTTCAGCAAACTAGGAATAAATAGAAACTTTCTCAATTGGATAATGGGTATCTACAAAAAAACTTTCTACATGCTTAATGGTGAAACACTGAATATTTTCTCCCTAAAATTGGGAACAAGGCTATCCATTGTCCATTTTAACCACTTCTATCCAAGACTGGAAAGAAAGAACTAAAACTGCTCCTATTCATCAACATAAAAAATCCTAAGGAATAAACAAAAATACTATTAGAAGTAATAAGTGAGCTTCACAAGGTCTCAGGAAACAAGATCAATATATGAAAAACAACTCCATTTCTATTTAGGAGCAACAAACAACTGGAAAATATTTTTTTAATTCTATTTACAATAGCATAAGAAATTCTATTTACAATAGCATACTAACAATAAATTTAACAAAAGAAGTATACAACATCTACAGTGAAAACAGAAAATTACTGAAAAAGAATAAAGGAAAACATAAATAAATGGAAAAATATACCATGTCCATTGATTGGGAGACTCAGTACATCTTAAAATATCAATTCTCCCCAATTTATAGATTCAACACAATCCTAATCATAATCACAATTTCTGTACAAATCAAAGCCTACTAAGATGATGATTTTAAATTTTAATGAAAAGGCAAAAGATTTTAGAGCAGTCTTGAACAAAAGAACAAAGCTGGAAGACATACTGGCTGAATTCAAGACTTTCTATAATGCTATGGTAATTGTCAGTGTATTATTTCTTTAAGGATAGACAAACCAATCTATGGCACAGAAAAGGACTGTCCAGAAAAAGAGCCATATCTATACAACTTATTCTGACAAAAGCACCAAAGAAATTCCATGATGAAAGGAAAGACTTTGCAAAAACTGGTGCTGGAACAACCCATACCACATACCATACACACAAAAAAATAATTCAAACTTACTCGTAAAACTAAAACTATAAAGCTTTCAGGAAAGAAACACAAGAGATATTTAATGATCTATAGGTGGGGAAAAAATTTCTTATACAAAAGCAACAAAAAAACATACCAACAAGAAAAAAATTTTTGATAAATAGGATTTCATCAAAATTAAAAATCCCTGCTTATCAAACAACAGCACTAAGAAAATAGACAAGCTGTAGCCTGGGGGAAAATAAGCACAAAACATTTACCTAACAAAGGACACATATTCAGAATATAAAGAATCTACAGCTAAAAGAACTAAAACTATTAAATTATTAGAAAAAAACAGATAAATTGGACATTATGAAAATTAAAAACTCAGATGTTTCAAAAGACACTTACCAAGAAAGTAAAGAGAAAAAAGCCCAGAATTAAATCCACACATTTAAGGCCGGCCCGGTGGCGCACTGGATAGTGCGCCGCTTGGGAAGCGCGGTGGCGCTCCCGTCCGAGGGTTCGGATCCCACATACAGACCGGTTCCCGCTCACTGGCTGAGCGAGGCATGGGGGCGACGCTGAGGGTTGCAATCCCGTTGCCGGTCCCCGGCCCGGTGCGGGGGCAACACTGAGGGTTGCAATCCATTGCCGGACTCGGAAAAAAAGACAAAAGAAAAAAAAAAAAAAAAAAAAAAAAAAAAAAAAAAAAA